GTCTCCATCATTTACATTATTATGAACATTCTCAAACTTTTGGATATTGGCTGAAAGTGGCCAATTCAATGGAAACTCCATGTCCCTGTTCACAAGGAGAAAAGACCATTTTCCTTATCAGTTAATGCAATAAGAGCTTAAATGTTTTTACATTAATTAATGCAATTGAAAGCACTCACCGAAGGTTATTTGTTCCTTTCTTTTTGCACATCCTGATATATTCATCGGTGTATCTTTTGAACAAATTGTCAAGGCGTTTAGCCAACTGTTGGATATCCTCTAAAGGCAATATGTTCCATATCTTCAAAACCTGAATATACCTTGAACCTTTGACTATTTCTATTGAACAAATAACATAGTTAGTTTCAACCTTAAACTTTTTCAAAATATGAGTTGAATTCTCACAATACAAATCCACATTATTCCATTTCGGCCTCCATCCACTGGAAAGCCTTTCAATAAGGTTGATAACCTTATTCTTGCTCGCTTCAAACTTTAGCCGTTTGAATGACCTCCGGAATTTGTCAGTAAAATCAACCTGCAGTATACGTACATTGGCAGCAATGTTAAGAATAGATCCAGCACATACGGAGAGAATCAATGATTTATTTCAACTATACTTACTTTTAATGAGTTATCAAATATCAAACATCGATTACTTCAGGAAATGCTAGATGTTGTGCATTCAAATATTATTAAGGAAATAAACATTGAAAAAGTTGCTAACAACTCATTACCGATGCAACCCAAGAAGAAAAAAGTGAGAACTGTCAAAGTATCAATGAACAATAGAAATTAATAAAAAAACAAGTATAAAAATTAAGTCCAAGACTGTATACCTTCCACAATTTATTTTTGAAGAGGACACTATTTGTATCAAGCAAATCATCAAACTGATCTGCCTCTTTCTTGGAATCCAATATAGCTGTCGCCATTTCCTCGTCTTGTTCTGCATTAAAGAAACAATTACGTTTCTTGGCATCAAGCACAATAGCATTCCAAACGTTTTCATTCTTTGTAATGGCCCATTCATTCCCCAAAATCCATAAGCAGTGCCTGCAAGATATGAAACCAAATGCAGTTTTTCAGTTAATATGGTATCCTGAAAAACAAATAAGACTTCAATAAATAGAAAAGTTAAGAGCAAAAGATGTACCTAGCTCTTGTAAGAGCAACATTAGTCCTCTGCGGAGAGGAAATGAACTCAAGAGATGATCTACTGCTTGTTCTTACAGTTGATAACATAATAATATCCTTCTCCCCTCCTTGAAAACCATCAACAGACATCACCACGACATTAAATCCATCATCACTTTCATAAATCTTTCCGAGTTTCTCCTGAATTTCAGCAACTTGGCCAGCATAGGGAGTCATAATACCAATGCTTAATTCATGTTTTGAGGTCAACCATGCTGCATCAAAGAAAAGGTAGCCCTTTATTCAAATTCAGACATCATGGATTGTAAAGGCACTACCTTTCTGTTTTCTGTTTCTGTTTACTTGAATTAGTGAAGATACAAGTGAAAATAATAAAGTGAATCTTTTCAGACTTAGGTGAATCAAATTATTAACTTCAGGTAATACTGCCAGGACAAGTAGAATTTTTGTAGATAGAGACCTTTAATCAAATATAACGATAAACCATATAAATCATTTTATTTAGAACTGAACTTCTTTCAAGTAAAGAAATGCAGACTAAATATATCAGTTCTTCTGAAAGGTCATGTTGTTGCATTGCCATCTAAGGTGTGGCACCAAAGACAGAAAGAATAATAAGAAAGTAAGAAAAAACTTAGAAATTACTGCTGAAGATATTAATAGAAGAACAAACCTTTGTGCAGATTTTTCAGTATTGTCATCACAACTGCGACCTCTGCTAAATTTTTGTGGCTCCTTCCTTCATCATCAAACTGTTCTTTGCCTCCAACTACATTTATAAAAGAATAAGGACCAAACATTGGCCCTGGGAGATATTTCTTCCCAAAGTCATATCTTCCCACATTTGGTGCATCCTGGATTTTGTTGGAATAGAAATAAGAAATTGGGAAAGAACTTATTTGTGGGTGCATCCTATGCTGCACCTTAAGGAGAGACTTTGGGTAACCTAATGAACTCAATCTTTCAAATAAGCTCCTCCCAAAACCAGCTTCCTTAGAAACCTTGTACACAAAAATTAAGCACAAATGAAATTAGAAATAAATGAACACTTGGGAGGAAGAATTCTGTGATAGAAAAAATAATACATGTTTGATAGTGATTACATACATTACTTCTAACCATTGACTGAAGTTGAAGCTCATCGCCAGCAAGAATGACATGTTTTATGCCTGGAAGTAAAAGAGGTATTATTGATTCACACTCTTTTAGCTGTGCAGCCTCATCTATCACCAAAATGTCAAATGGCTTCATGGTTAAAGAGCGCAACTTATGAGAACCAGAAGCTGTGCAAAATATCAACGACGATGTTTGGAAACAAAACTGTCTGATTGATTCATATTTATAAGATTTTATCAGTATGAACTCATCAATTGAATCTACCACAGTCATTAAAGCATTGAGACATTCAATTCGCTTCATGTACAGCTTGTATGCTGCACCATCAAATGACCAAGAATCCATCTCTGGTAAATTTTTGTAAGTAAATAGCTTTTCCAATTCTTTAGAAGGCAAATTACTTTGAAACAAGTAGCCCTGAAATGATTCAAGTGCCTCACTTAAACATACTAATTTCCGAATGTTATGTTTCAACAAACTCCTCCCCACATGCGTACACAAGATAGAAATGCAAGATTCTAGTATCCCTTTTGCTGACTGGAACCTTTCTCTAAGAAACTCTAGAAATGATTTGAGGTTTCTCTTATTGTTTAACTCGATCTCAACAAATAAACGATAATCAGAAACACAATATTCAAGAAGATCAATCATTGATTTAATGCAAGATCTAAATCCAGTAGCAGTAGGGAACAAGGCTTTTGTCAGCTCTTGTACTCGATGATCCAAATATATATCCTCAACATCGTCTCCAATTTTCAGCTTGCCATTACGAGGTTGGTAACTGGATGGAGCAGGCGAAAAATCATCATTCGCTTCTCAAAAGGGAGTTACATTTGTACTCGGTCGTAGTGGTACAAAGGAAGGGAAAAAAAAGAAAAAAAAAACCATGTTCTGATTACTAACTTATTCACAATGAGGATATTGCACCGTAAGGGGGGAGTTCAACAGTGGTACGGATCTGGAATTAATGCAAATCGGAACATCCAAGGTTTATTGCTATGAACGAGAGGGACCCAGGTCTTAAACAGCTATTTGTAACGTTGAGTGCTGGACTATGCCAGAAGGTCCAACATCATGTTTCCCTTTTGAAAAGGTGTGTACATTCTTTCATAATACTATATCCTTTGACAACCAATTGTTTTTTACTTTATTTATATTGGTATAATACAAATAAAAGGCTTCTAGGTATAGATTTCTTTTATCAGATTATAGATTTACATTGTAAAGTTATATTTTTTAAATTTCAACTAAAATAAAAAAATTATTAAGTTAAAATTCTCACGAGTTCTGTATACAAAAGAGTTTTGATTATGCTTGTATGATCTGCAGTGGATGCTATGTTACCTGACCATAGACCATATAATTTTTTGTAATGTGTTTTTATGTGGTAACATCGTAATCCATGTAATCTATTTGATTTTATATCTAGGAAAGATAAGTTTCAGAAGGTATTTTATTGGTCCTCAGATAATTTCATTGAAACTCTGGAATGATAATTAAGCCAGGCCTTATTATTGTTTTATTATGGCTACTAAAGTTTGATTTTTGATGCACCACACAGGTCCTTAAGGGAAGTTGGCCCCGTAGCTGAAAGTAGTGCAAAACAGTTTTGAGACATATCCCAGATTCCTTTGATGGTCTTTCCTATGATTTATATCCACTTGTGATAACATTTCTAAATTTATTTCATGCTAGATGGGGACATTGGGAAATTTCTTATTTTTGATAGTTTTATAATGCGAACCTTGAGTTCAAAGGTTGGTGCATTGGAAACCCTAATGAGAAGGAAGTGAATATGAAAGGGTTTGAGTCATTGTATTGGCCGCACTTCAAAGTCCACGCTACGTAAAAAAAACAAAACGGGATTCTTATATAGTGTTTAACTGAAATAATGTCACACATTAAAGGTGGTACAGAACGATTCGAGCATGGTAAGTTAAGCAGGGAGTGAATACTGTGATGTATCTGAAAACCGAACTTCCAGGTCTGAGCACAGAGACAAGAATTATGATATACGATATATTTCAAACTATAAACGATGAAGATGACAAATGGTGATTTGATTTGGTGATTTAGTGATTGATCTCACAGTAGACTGAGGGCTGAGAGATACAAGGTGATTAAAAAATGAATTTGTTAGTGTACCTAGATGAGGCTGCAAGATCTGACAATGGCTCTCAGAATGGTTTTCATTTAGAGTATGATTCTGCAGGAAACTTGGAAGGAAGGTTGTTGTTTTCTGTGGAGATACAGCACAGACGTTGGGGATGGGGACTTGATTTCAGATTTAAAGATGTAGATCCATATTTTTCAAAAAGTTTGTTTTAGAATCCGATAGCTGGAATCATGACACAAAGAAAGGTAAAGATGCATTTCAGATATTTTGTACTTTGAGTCAGAACTTTGCACCAATGCTTGAGGGTTTTTTGCATGTTGTCACAAAGTAACATGAACTTCTTCATCATTTTCTTTCCTTTCGCTTCTATAACTTGTTGAAAGAAGAGACTGGATTTGATAGAAGGGAAAATCCCACTTGTGATTCGATCAAGAAATGATGCAGATTCACTCTGAAAAGCTTTTTGGACGAAAAGAAAAGTTAGAGGCGAAGAGAGGAGAGGAGTAGTTTTGTAAGAGATAATTTAGCACGAAAAGGAAGTGCTTCGAGTTGCTGGAAAAGAAGCTCTTGTTTTAACCGTTTTAGAGTGCAAGGGTCTTGAATTTGAGGTTGGTGTCACCATAGAACTTGGGTGGTTGGTCTTCGAGTTAGTTCATCAGTTTTTCTACGGTTCTTCTTTCTCTTGTTATGTAGGATGTGTTGCTGTACAACTTCTTTTCCTCTTCACCTCTGCAAGGGAGATGGAGGGTGATATATGACTATATGAAAGAACAGCAAATACAAGCCTACTCTCGAGGATGTTTTGATCAAGATTCAAATCACAGTGTTTTCTGCTCAGAACTGAAACAACTATATGTTGCTGGTTACTCGTTACGAGGAGTAGACTTTGGATTTATGAGGATACAGAAGAGTTTCTACACCTATGTTGACTATTGGAAAATGAAGAATCTTGTCCAATTCCAATAGCTGAATCATGTGTTGATTATTGAGGATATGCCAAAGTAGCTTTAATACAGCACGGAAAGCTTTTTTTTTTTTTTGTTTGTAAAAATCTCTTATCGTGCAAGAGATTTACCAATTTCTCCATGTATGATCTTAAGAGACGACAAGGAAACAATGGACCTCTAATGTTGTTTTCTTATAAATCCTATTTTTCTTTCACTGCACTCGAAAAGGTAGGGCATTGTGCACTAAAACCCTAGAGCTCCTAACCACGTTTGCCTCCTGAAATCAAAACGAGAGTGCAATTGACACCATTCCTAACTTGTTCATAGTGTTGGATTGTAAAAAACCCAACACCCTACTACTCCCCATATTTACCACCTATTAACTCATTACTCCACGCACATCCTAAGATCATTTTGACTGTGCCACCGTACACATGATAGCCACTTACTTGCTTGCTTCTGAATTTTGAAACACTCCTGCACACCAGGTTTGACACACACGTCTGGTGTTGCTGTCACTTGGACTGTGATTTGGCTGGCCACATTGTCCCCCGAGATGGTCGTTCACTGGAACTAATTGGTTTATTGGATAGCGTGACTTAACTCAAATGGACCTCACTGCAAGTGGAAAGCATCAAAGGAAGTTCAACATGGTGAAGGAAAAAGTGATGCCAAGTTGAACCTTAGCACAGAACGGACCAAAACACCTGTACGACTGCAACACCGCACACCTTCTTATTACTGCAGAAAATTACATTCCTGGTTTAGGCACCTTGCAGCTGAGAGCATTGTTTGGAATCCCGTAGATTCAAGTTCTTTGAGAGCAACCACAAAGCTGCATGACAGTGTCCCTTAGCCTATTGTTTAACTTTGCCTTCCAATGTACAAACGGTCTTTGTAACTTACATTCGATTTTCTTGCGTGTAAAGTTCCAAACTCCAAGCAAGGAGGTGCTAGGTTCACACAGCTGCTCTTCCCCCCCTGCATTTGTAACTAGGACTATCAAAGAAGTCCTCACCCAACCTAAAACTGCTTAGTCGGTAGTGTGTTCTTAGACTCCAAAGTCTAAGCCTCACTACGGCGACCTCACTTTAATGAGTTTTTCCAATTTCGACTAAGATAAACCGATATCTGTGCGAACTAGGAAGCTACATCTTAGGGGCAGTCCGACTTTAGAGTTTAGGCTTGTGTTCCTAGTCCTTTGCTTTCGCTGTTTTTGCTCACTGTGTCTTTAAAGACTTAAGTGGATTAAGAGTGATTGTTGATCTAAGGGCACTGTATAGTAACGTAGCCAGAAGCATATTTGCACAGGAAAAGGCCTTGGTACTTACAGCACGTTCCAGTGAATCACTCCCTACCTGGATATTGCTTCAAGTGAAAATCTCTCGTCTTTACTTCAACCCCTCCCAGCAATACCATTTAAGTCCATCATACTGTCTAGAAAGGCCCAATCTACTAGGATTCAGTGATAGTGAAACAGAACACTTTTCACTCTTCAAACTTAGTGACAAGAACTTCAAGGACAATGACGGTGAAGAGACACATGAATGAAGAGAAAGCCAACTACCAGAGCCTTCAAAATGCGTTCATTCAACGATGAGTTGAGACCATGATAAGGACCAAGCACGTCTAGGGGAAGTCAGCACGTGAAAATCAACGAGGGAGGGATGTCTCTTTGAGTCGGGCGTGGATTAATTACCCTCCTCCAGCCTTCTACTGCGACAGGAGGCAAGGATGAAATTTCATGCACCCCCACCCACCCTAAAGAATGTCACATGTTGGTTGCACTCACTTCCACTGGAAGGAAAATGTACGAGGCTTATCTGATGCGGACGATCGAAGTGGAACAATTGTTTGAACTGCCACCAAGTGCGCAGTCGAAGAGAGGAAGGTCTCTCTAGCTACCCTAAGACTGTCAAGGGTAGGCAATGTATTGGTGACTGCCTTGCGTCCAACGAGAGGCTTGACTCAAGGCCCATCCCCCAATCCACCTATTGAATGATTCTAACGCTCTGACCTTAGGTAGGACAACACATTTCCCTCCTACTTACAATAGATGAGCTCATGGATAACCTCCCAAAGGTACAAAACAAAGGCCAGACAGTTGTAGGAATATATACAAAAAGATGGAGTTGTATAATGATGAGGGCAGGATAGTAGAAGGTCAGAAACACAAAATATCTTGACTAGCTAGATTACAGTTAAGTCGGGACTCAATTGTTGACTAAGAGATTAGGGTTGAAACCGTCTACCTTATAGAGATAGTTTGACATGATCTTTCAAATGTGTTATAAAGGTAGAACACAACAAAACTTGAGAAAACACCTTCTTCTAAAAGAACGTCAAGTCTCAACCTACTTTTGAAAAGAAAATTTTTAAAGAAAAAGGCCATTTTAAACCTCTAGCCAAACACTAGAAGCACGAGAACCAAGAAAGAGGGACACCTACACACAAAGAACCAAGTGTGAAATCAAATGCTTGCACATGTATAGGACAGGCGGTCATGATAGCTACTCAATGTCCTACAAAAGAAAAGTTATTTTGCACAACGTAAGGACACTTTATCGTAGTGAAGGACACCCCAAACTAGTACAAGTGAGAGTGAGGAAGAAAGAGAGGGAAGAGGAAATATATGCTGATGATGGACAAACTCTCACATGGTGAGGAAGGATACTTAGCACCAACCAAGTCTGAACACATATCTACAAAGAGCGAAAAAATCTTCACACATAGATGTAAATTCAAGAAAATCATTGTTCTCTCATTGTGATAGTGGGTCTTGTTGCAATTGTGGAGCACAAGGTTGGTTGAGAAGTTGAAACTTGATATTATACCCCATCCAAAACCTTATAAACTTCATTGGATAAATGAAGATGGGGATATAATAGTCAAGAATCAAGTGAAGTTGGCATTTTCCATTGGGAACTTCAAAGATGAAGTTTTATGTGATATAGTTCCATGGAAGCACGTGTCATGTGGGTATGGGGGATGACCATGGCCCAATTTGATCTATCAAACACTATCCCATCAGGGTCTAACCACCAACACACCACAAACCCAAACTCAATATCCACTCAACCCCACACGGGACAAAAGTTTGTGCTTCATCCTTTGACTCATACCAAGTGGCTAAGGATCAAGCATCAAATGACGATTTTAAGAACGCAAGAACACTGATCAAAAAGAAAAACAGTCCAAAAGAAAGCGGAGGCTATAGAAACAAGTGTGCCACCTAAGGTCATCTCACATGACGTCCTTTTAACCAAAAACGAATTTAATCAAATACACTTCAAGTTGTAGCAACCTTCACTATCTTCTTCTTTGTCAAGAAAACAATGACCATGCCATCTCAGGATTCAAAGATTCAACTCTTTCTCCATCCATTCAACAAAACTTTTGTGAAAGAAATTGCTGATCTCTTCCCCAAGCACAATTCCAAAGGGGATTTCCACCCCATCAGGGAAATGGAACATTCAAAGTGTTGCATTCAAGGGGCATTCTTCCTAATAGGCCAAGCCTATAGGACAACCACCCCAAGAAACTAAGCGGCTTGAGACACAAGTCAAGCAAAGTTGCTAGATCAAGGCTTAGTTCAAAAGAGCTAAGTCCATGGGCTGTACCAGCTGTGCTGTTTCAGATCAAAACAAAGATGGCGCAAGTGGCGCATGTGTCTGTGCATTGTAGAGCTATCAACAACCTCACAATCAAGTATAGACATCCATTTAGGCTTTGATTTGAAATATGTTGGATGCAGAATGCATGGAGCACAAATTCATTTTCAAAGTAGATCACTAAAAAGTGGCCTATCACACAATAAGAATTACAAAGAAGGTGATGAATTGGAAACTGCTTTGTAGGACCAATTTGGATTATATGCAAATGGCTAGATATGCCCCCCTTTTGGTCTTACAAATGCTCCTAGCACCATCCTAATGACGGCACCTATGAATACTGTCCTTAGGCGATTGCATTGGCGAAAGTTTGTAGTGTTTACTTTGTGACATCTTGCGTACATATAGTCAAAATTTCAAACTCTGAACAAAAACATTTGAGAGTCTGTTTTAACAAGTCTTAGAACACACAAATTGCACTGCAAACCCTTGGACAAGTGTACCTCACAGTGTTGATAGTGTCACATTTATTGGATTTAGTGGTCACCCAAAAATGGGTTCATGTGGACCCCAGAAAAAATAAAGGCCATCCACGACGTTGCCTCCTCCAAAGAATGTAGGAGACTAAGGAAGCTTCCATGGGGTGGTGGCAAGCTTTTATAGAAGATTTGTTCCTAACTTCTCTAGTCTTGCTTAACCCCTCCAATGCAGTTGGTGTGAAAAAAGATGTTACACTTCCCATTGGGGGGGATAAACAAAAAAGGACTTTTGAGCTACTCACAAGCGGGAAGCTCAAACAAAGCCACCCATTCTAGCTTGCCAAATTTTTCCAAAACTTTTGAGCTAGACACTGTGATGCTTCAGGATTTGGCAGACGGCCTGCAGTATTATACAATGTAAGAACACCCAATTGCATATACTTTAGTGAAAAACACCTTCATGGTGCCTCTTGTAATTACCCACCTATGAACAAATGAACTCTATGCACTTGTGTAGGGCTCTTCAAACTGGGCGAACATTTATCTTGTTGCCAAAGGACGCAACCCACCCCAACCACACTTACTCACTTCCACATAGTAGATCCTGCAATCACTTAAGATATTGAAGACGTAACACAAGTTACCAAAAGGGCATGCTAAGTAGGTATAAAATGCGGAAACTCCCACACATCAGAGCACAACTTCAACACCTTATGTTATTTAAAACAAGAAAGGAACAATCCAACATGTGGTGGCTGATGCTTTTTGATCAAGAAAACAATTAATCTATAGCCACATTGGGATGCTCAAATTCTTGGATTTACATAAAACATTCTTGACATTCTATTCACACGATCTTGACTTTTGCTCATATCTCTGCGTGCAATGTGATTCTCAATAAGCCTCAAGGAGGCCATCTTGTGAAAGAGGCTCGGTATCTCTTTTAAAGAAGGAAACAACACTTTGCAGTCCCCAAGGTTCACATAGAAAACTCCTTGTTTTAAAGGAACACCTGAGGAGGATTAATGGGACATTTTGGCCGGTAGAAAAGAACCCTTGGCATGTTGAAAGCAAACATTTTTCGGCATGTCACATGAGAGGGCGCACGCTTCAAAGGCATTCGCACGACCAAGTGTATTACGTTTTAGAAGCCTAAACTAAATTCAATGCACTCATGGACTTTATCCCTCCTTTGAATGTTGTTCCACCCCCATTGGGAAGACGATAAGTATGGCATTTTGTGTTAGGTTCTTCCCCAACACTTCTAGCGGTTTTGATTCTATCTTTGTCGGTGGTAGATAGGTCACTCACCGCAAAAGGCTCATTTTATACCACACTGCCCACAAGTAGATGAGTTGCAAGCAACAGTGCAAAGTTGTTCTTTAGAGGATGTGGTTAAAACCTTCAGATCTACAAAGGAATTAGTTTCGGATAACCGATACAAAAATTTCTACGTCACGTTTGGAGGGACCTTATGGTCTAGACTTAGCGAGACTAAGTTATCCTTTCACATCACTACTTGCCATCCCTCAAACAGATTGGTCAACGAGGTATGTAACATAGATTCTCTTTTACACTTACTAGGGTAGTTCTAAAAAGGATCACAAATCTTGGGATGACTATCGTTCCTCATGCTTGAGTTTGCCTCACAATAGAGTAGTTCCCCAGGGAACTACTAACACTTGCTACTTTTGCAAGTGGTTTATGGTTTTAATTCTTTGCACACCCATGGTTGCTAATACCCATTCCTAACACTCTATTGATTTTGTTCATCAAGATGGGGTACCATATAACATCTAACTTTATTAAAGATTTAACCATTAAAGGGATTTAAAAATTCAAATTCAAAACCAACAACATGCAGCAAATATGCCAAGAATAATAATAAGGCGCACAAGAAAAAGAGTTAATCTTAAATGAAGGAGATTTAGTTGGATCCATCTTAGAAAGGAAAGATTTCCTCAACTAAGAAAGTCCACACTCAATCCTAGGAGAGATGGACCTTTAGCAGTGATCAGGAGGATTATAACAATGAATATCAAATGGATCCTTCCTCCTGAATATGGTGTTCATGCTTACCTTCAATGTAGCTGATTCTTTAAACATTTTGCAGCGATTTGATATGGAGATGAAGATCTTTGGTTTGAGGGCAATCCTTTTCAAGATGGGAGGGGATGAATACAAGAAGGTGGAACACCATAGGAGAACCCATCACAAAGGGAATGGCCAAACAAGCTCCAAGCATAGAATATTTCCTTCAAAGGTCCAAGTTATATTTGCTATCTTTGATGGAAAATTGGAGAACCAGAAAGATATGCCAAATCTTGCCAAAACATGGAGAAGGTACAAAAGGAGCACTTTTTACAAAAGGGGTGTATAATCCTTCTATGGCGGTTGCATGAGTAATTGTTTTTCTCACCAAAAACCTTGATTTTCACGGGTTTAACGCTATACAGTAGCAAAGGGGTTCCACGCTGACACGTGAAAGTTGAGTGCTTAGACCCACGAGATAATCTATAAAATCTATAGGAAAAGCTTGTAAACACTTTTGGATGTATTGGAAAGCAATTTCTGCTGAAAATGCATAGCAATTCCTTCTCCACAAGAGGCACTTCTTCGCTTGATTTCCATTGCCAGTTGTTACTTGGGTTTCCGTCCACTCTAGGAAGCTTCTGGTTGTGAAAATCACCTCTCCAAGCACGCCTCATATCCATTCACCTTAAACTACAAACATCCAGTGCCTTCACATCCACAAACATCACTTTCACTCATCTGCTCAAAACTGTGACCCAAGTCTGCAGCTGCCCAGCTACTTTCCATTGCAGTTTTCCCGCAAGGTTCAAGCATCCCTGACCCTCCACATCTCACGGATTCTTGCTTTCTCCCACATCCTCCTACGGCACTGTATCACCCACGTCCGTCGCTGCTCTCTTCTTCTAATGAAATGTCTCCAGTAAAAGCCAAAATGAAGGTGCCCCTGAAATGTTGTTATTTTATTGGAGCCAATCCGTGTGCTTCCAAATTAATCAGTTGCAACTCCCTTGCATGCGCACACGAGAGTCGTGCTCACACTGGAAACCCTTGCTCAATCTGGATGTGGGCGCGTGTGCGCGAAATTCACCAATTAATAGTCAATTTCCTTAAAGAAACGAAAGTAAAAGGACTACGTGAAAAGCACATTTTCAATAATAAAAAGCTTGAAACTAGTAAAAACAGCATTCAACTTTTGGATGTGACAAATATGTGTCATTATCTATAAACATATTCAAATTGAAATTTGGGTGGGACCAAGACTCCACGTGATCCAATCAACACCCCCTCTCTCTCTTCCAGTGCACTCACTTA